ATATAAAACGTGTTGAGGTTGACATGTTATGAAACATAAAATATATTTCTTTATTGTAAAACTAATTAGGAAACCTGTATATTTTGTCCTGTCCTCAGGACAATATAATGTAAAGAAAATCCATGCACAAAGATCACAAAACCATAAGTAATTACACACAACTGCAGCAATAGCTTTTTTTTAGATGGTTTCCTTTAGTCTATAGCTTTACAGTTTGCTTGCTCGCTATTTGTTGGAAGTCAGAGCATGGAGGAAGTTCAAATAAGGTACAGTAAATATCAAGTTAAAATTTCAAGGTCCATTGCAAAAGAGCTGGCTAAATTCATTGAGCTTAACTTCTATCACTCAGTATTAGATTGTTTCCTTTTGACTTAATTTCAAATTATCCATGAATTGATCCTTCATCAAAACACTCTAGTTTGCAAAACTACTTTTTGTACTGATTAATACAGGGCCATATACAGGATTGTCATTTGGGGGAACACCAATCGCCTGTTAATATTGGTTTAATTTTTAATTTCATATATAGCATTAGCAGCGGTCAGCCATCAAAATGATGGAACATGCTGGATTAGATCCCAACCAGTGTACCCTTGCTCTCCCAATTATGCTTAAACCCTCACCCCTTAACTTTAAGGAATCTGGGTTATAAGCCTAGATCAGCTACTTAAATTAGAAAGAGGTAACCCCCCTTATCTATGCAGGTTATTCAAATTTCAGTATCATATTGGCACCCATTTAAAACTGAATGGCATACAATATTAATGATACATATGCTGGTGGTTTAATACAAACAATACTATATATAATCAATGTAAAGAGTTGTCCTATAAAAGTGAAAATGTAAAACATGCATAGAATAGACAGTGCTACAGTACATAAATGCTGTATTCATAAAATATGCATCAGACTCACAATAGTGTTAAATGCCACATAGAGTAACAGAAGCGGTAGCTGACCCAAGCCCCCATTCACACAGCTGATGACCTCAGGAGACTGCGATTTCTCCCGTGAGAGTTTTCTGAGTATTAGCAACCATTTAAGCGCTTAAACAGATAAGTTTTAAGAGCTTTTTAAAATAAGCTAATCAGGATGAATGACCTGATTCCAATGAAATTGGACTGGATTTGCAAAATTCTACAAAACTTGCGGTTTTTGGTTCAAATTATGTTCAATTTAATTGGAGGCATTGTTCAATTCTGTATGTTTTAACTTTACGTATTCTGAAGTAAATTTGGTGTAGGATTGTATATATCTTAAAATTCACTACACAGAACTTATTCTGTAGATGATTTTTCAATAGAATTTCTTAACACTTCTGTGATGCATTTGAAAGTATTTGAATTTCTTTGTTTATAATCTGCTAACGTCGTAACATTTCTAACACTGCCAGAGTAGCCAGGAATGAGTTAATGTCCATGTAATGGTAACAAGGAAAAACATTCTCTGTAGAATTATGACACAGAAGGTACTTCTTAAGAGTTTTATCAATATTACTAGTATATAAATTAGAATTGCCAGCATGATCTAAATATATAAAGGACATGTCATCAAAGATTTCTAGGAAAATTAGTCGGAAAATGCTATGAATTTTAAAAATCTATTAACAATTCATTTTTTTAATGAGTTGCAGTCTTTTTACTATAAAATTCTAAAATTTATTGTCAACTGATTTGAAGTGAAGGCCCACACAGAGCTATAATATACCACTGTTCTGTTATATTTATGATTATACCATATATAATGCTAGAACAAGTTAATTAGTGTCAAAATTTCACAAATAGGAATTTGAACTGCGCTGTTTTGACAGCTTAGTATCAATTTTGTGACGTCACATACACAGGTCAACAATAATAAAGCTATATGTGTTAGATAGCACCATCCATGGAAAACATAATTAGTAGATAATCTTTCCAAATTCCAAATAATATGTTCATTTTTTTCTGATGTTTAAAGTATAGAACCAGACAATATAAAAAGGCACTTCTGCTTGGGTAAATGAAGAAAAAAGGAGGAAGGAAGAGGAAGGCCATACACACAGTTAATGAATGGTGTTGCAACTCATACTATTTTGTTATAATATTACAAACAAAATGGATGAAAATGAAAGTTGCATTTTGCTAGTATTATTTTGAAGTTTGTTTGGTTGAAGATGTTTTACAAACACTTTACACCATGGTTATTTCAGAGAATATCCTGACTAACGATTCATTATATTTGATGTATGTTAGTTACAAGCCTATGCAGCCAATCAACTTGAGTGACCAGGTTGTTAGAAGTTTACAATCAGGCCCATAAAAAGTATAAGTGTATAAATATGGGTGATTTTAGGCCCAGGCTAGCAGGCTAGATGAGTTTCAACCAGGTTGCCAAATGTTTTGGTCATTGTTGTCTTCTTGACCGTGACATTAGCCCAATTATGTTAACCGGTTCATTTAACCAATTTCCAGCATCTTAAACTACTATAAAATCTAAAATTTTAGACTGAATACTCAAAACATTTAAATCTATTGTATGAAATGTACTGAATACTTAATTGAATGGTAACACTTTAAGACGGTATTTATTATTATTATTATTTATTTTATTGTGGGCCTACACAATCATAGCCTCTATGCAAATGATAGGAATAATAATAATAATAATAACTTTATTTATCCATGGATACTCATTTCAATCTTTTTACAAAGGTTGGTCTTCCAAGAGGCCGTGTTCTTAAACTACTGATATGATAAAAGAAAGGGAAAACAAACATGGAAACGTAAAAATCTACCAACTGTAAAATTAGGAACTAATACTACTTTTAAACAATTTCAAATTTGAAATAATAAAATCTGCGGTTTCAAAAACTGGTCAGGTTTGACACAATATTTTTAAAACTCTTTAAATCTTTAGCATTTTTTGCTTCTCCTGATAATGAATTCCATAATTTTGATCCATGATAGGTGAAACTTTCTTTTTGTATTCAGTTCGAGGTTTGCATAGATAAAGTTTGTCTTTAGATCTGGTATTATGTGGGTTTTCTTTAGAACTGAATTTGTTAATAAGATATTGTGGGCTTATATTATTCATAATCTTGTACATTGTAATAGCTTTGTTGTGAAATTAGTTTGTATCAAGCCTGTTCCAGTTTAATTTTTTGAGAGCTGCAGAGCTTGAATCATAACTGGACATCTTCGTAATAATTTTGGCAGCTCTATTTTGTAAAACCTGTAGCTTTTTACTTAAAGTACTATTACACCTTCCCCAGACAACATTACAATACTGGAAGCGTGGGGCAGTAATAGTTTTGTAAAGTGTGCATTGAATGGATTTTGGAACAATTTCACTAGATTTCTTAGGAATGTGTTCCTTATGCTGAGTGTGAGTAAGAGCATGTTTGGTGTCAAATACACTGAGGATAAAGACAAAGGAAAAACTCTAAGCGGAAAAAGTGCAGTTTTAAGGCTAAATACAGCATCGAATAAATGGAAGGCTCTTGGTATTGCAACACAAGGGAATTTACCCTTGTTCATACACATGTAATCAACTAACTTTCTGGAAGTACTGTATAGCAAAATTTCTTCCTGTGAACTGCTGGCTTATTGTGTTGAGAGATTTCCTGCTGTAAACATTTCTTGGTATAATACAGTAGTTGAGAAATGTCTTTCCGTTTTTAAAAGAACTGAGAGATTTTTGTCCTTGGAATTACTGAAAGTGTTCCAGTCTTTCAACATGTCTGAAAATACCAATTCCAAATATTGTTAATGGTCATTTTAAAAAAATATATATAATTATGCATAATAATGTTAATTTAGTGATTTTTTTTATTGTTTTTATAGTGATTATATATTGTAAATGTATGGTCCCTTTTATTGGCATTTTCACTGTTGGGGTGAAGTGAAATAAAATAAGTGTTATATATAAAAATGACATGCTCTTTTGTACTTTACAGCAACAACTTGGTAATTCACATAGTGATCCTAGTAGTAAAGATTATGACCCACCACTGGCTCAGCAGGAAGACTTAGGAGAAGAGGTAATACTGTTGTTAAGTCTATTTTATAGATTATTGTACCTGTATCTATTAAATATTGCCATTTGTTAAAATGTGAAACACCACTCAATGATAAATAAAACAGTCGAGTTGGCAATTTCACTACTGCTTCCTTATTGTGTCCTGTGTTCAAACGGTTCTTGCCAACTTCCTGCAAAGCGGGGCAGGGAGAGTGTACATCTCCACATCTTCTCTAGTAAAATGCTCTGTTAACAATTGGGAATTGTGTATATTAACAATAATTTTTTTTAGGAAAAAATGTTTATGTTGAATTTCATTTAATTTGTTCTATAATTATTTTTTCGTCATTTCTGTCTTCCTAGGAACGAGTTGCAAGCCAGGAGAATCTATTGTCAAAGAAAGGTACAAAAATTGAACTTGTGACTGAGGACGAGGAGACATATGAAGCAGAACCTTCCCTCTTACCGCCTCCAATGGAACTCCAGCGTCATAGCAACCTAATGTCCTCAAAGGAAGGAAAGGAAGAAAACAAAGAGGTAAATAACAATCACAATGTATGATTTCATTCTTCATATTGATTGCTTGGAATTTTACATCAAGATTTGCAAAGTCACTCATTAACGTAAATGCTACACTGAGAGTCATTATTTTACCAATTATTAAAGATATATTGTTTGTCATAAAATTGAAGAAAAAAACCCCCATAAATTAAATTAATACATCAAATTGCTCATTTAAGGGATCAACTTCCAATGAAACACAGATTTGAGGAGTGGAGCTACAGCCTGGTGGTGCAGGTGGTTGCTTTGCATTCCCAGTGTCCTGGGTTCAAACCCATCATTATTTATCTGATGACTCTCTAAGATATAGAGAAACATGGTTTGTAAATTGCCATGCTTTCCTGTAAGTGGTGGTACCTGCTGTTGGATATAAAAGACATGAAAAAGATAAATAAACTATTCATTTATTGTTGATCTACAGACTTAGAAATCCTTAAATTGATTACCAGAAAGAATATATACAAAGATATTGAATGTTATTAATTATAAATAATTAATAACAAGGAAAACAGAAATTCAAATGTTAAATTTTATTGCAATATTTAAATTACCCTCACTGAAGGGTTGAATGACCAGTTGGGTACAATACAGGCCACTGGACAGTCACCAAATTTCACAATAGGGATGCCCCTGAGGTTTTTGCTAATTTGCATCAACTAGAGGGCTTACTCAAGCATAAATATATACAGTGCAATTATAGTGTAGCATCCTCGGTAGTCATTCAACCTTGAGAAAGCTGCTTATAACAATTGACATGCAGGGTAAGTCAATTTCCCAGGATACTATTGCGATATAAGTCCATATCCTTGAAATATATTGTTTTAAAAGTTTTTTACTTCAACACAAACAGTACAGTATATCTTTAATGTTGAAAATAATTATACAAAACAATAGATGGTGCACAAAATTAGGACTATATGTATTTATAAAAAGCAAAACAGAAAGTACACTACTTTTTCAAAACAGCACTAGTTCTTAAGTTAAGTTTTGACTATATCATAAAAATACAATACATATACATAACTTTCATATATTTGTGCAATAAGTATATTTGTGGGTACATGTATTTCTATTTGCTACACATTCAAAATTCCATGGATTTTTTTTTGTTTACTAGTTTGTAGTATAAATGTAGATGAATTAATTTTTTGTTTGCTTTATTTAATTGTTGCATGCTCTTATATTTTTTGTTGGCCTCATTTTACATCAATCTCTCTGCCACAGTCACAAATATCCCTTGGTGCTATCCCAGCCTGCATCACAGGCTCAGCCTCTGAGATAGCTGCAGAAATTGAGCAAATGGTTCGTCTAAGGATGGTACGTTTTGGCTAGTGCATGTTTTATTTTGGGCACGTTTGCTTGCTGCATTCTTAGCCTGCACATTATAATCTAAGGCATGGTATTTGCCTGATTTATGCTTCTATATTTTTTAGCTGAACGCACCTTGCATTTTTACAACACATTCTACACACTACAATTTCTAGCTAATGCACGTTATATGTTTAGCAACATGCTATGTGTGTGGTTAAGGCTTCTTTGAGCTTACTCTATTTTAACTATGCACATGTTGTTTTTGCAACATGCTGTATATTTGGTAGACTTCTTCTGTCACTACATTTTAACTAGTGCATATTAATGATATGGGAGATTGACCTGATTTAGTTCTGACTATACAGAATTCTGCTTGCTACATTCTTTTGGTATGCTAATTCCTTTGGCTGTATTTCTTGCTACATTTTTAAATACATGATAGCAGCTATTTTAAGGGGCTTTCTGGAAAATCATTTTCAGAAGCTGAACCTCTGAAGAAGACACAATATTTATTCTTCAGCATTAGTTAACAGTACATTTCTATGTCATTTACTAAATATTTTTTACAATTATACTATTTTTTTAACAATTATACAAAATGGGTGTGAACCTGTTTGTAATAGAACTAGAAGTATGTGATTTAAAAATGTTAACTTATAGCAAGGATTTTTTCACTCAATATCACATGAACAGGAAAAATAAAATACAAATTTGTAACTTTGTAACTGGAAAATGTTCTAAACTCCAGGGAACTGGCAACAGCTGTAGCACAGTGTGATCCCCTGTTGCTAAATTTTGCAGCAAGCAGCAAGACAGTCCCGGCCTTTCCCAAAGAAATGGCCTCCAGCATTGGCAGTATCTGGGCCAATTTGGCAGGGACCTGGGAATGCTTAGGTGCTTCAGTGGATTGGGTGATGGACTGCCTAGGGGTGGGAAAGGGATAATGAAGCTACTGGCACTATTAAATCTGCACCTAGTCAGTTTGTGGGTGTACTGAGGGATATATTGCTGTATGCTTGTGTTTGGTTATGTCTCTAGAGTGTGAAATACTCAAGTGCATTAGAAAAACTGTTGTTATATCTCTTAAATGGATTGAATTGTTATGATAGTAATTTAGTAGCTGAACCCATTAACAGATTCACCTTCTAGATTACCTACCTCCCCTGCTCTGACACAATGCCTCTTTAGATTCTTCCGGCCAATTTATAATAACTGTAGTTCTTGATGAGAGTAGAGATGACTTATATATTCATCTTTGTAT